TTATTTTTTTTTAATAGCTATTTTTGGGTGTAACTGGGACCTTGAGTACACAATTTCGTTCCACCTAATGTGCCACATGTGATGCGAATGACAATAAACATACTTGTACCATAACTCTTATAGCCTTTAGCTTTTTGTCATATTAGCTTTTAGCTGATTTTAGCTATTAGTTACTGTCTGGTTAGTTTTAGTTTTTAGCTACAATTTTGTTGATTTTAGCTTATAGTTATGGTAACTTTAAAGGTTAACTCCTGTTTTTTAGCTTTTAGCTCATTTTCTGCTCATTTCAGATTTTAGATGTTGTTTTGCTGGTTATAACTTGTTGCTAACTTTAACTTTTAGCTATTGTGTTTATTTAGTTTTTAGTTTCTGTTCTGCCAGTTTCAGTTTTTAGGTTTTCTGTTGCTGAGTTTAACTTTTAGTTATAGTTTCATTCATTTTAGCTTTTGATTTTGTTACTTCTAGTCGTAAGTTTTGGTTCTGTACATTATAGGTTTTAGTCACTGTTCTACTCAACTTAGCTTCATGTTGTGTTTGTTTAATTTCACCAAATCATTTTCAGCCTTTTTGACAAGTTTCAGAAATCATTCAGCTTTTGATTTTCAAACCAATATTTCACAAAACATTACTTTTTCTAGTTTGTCCTAGTTTGACCTCATTTGACCTTGTTTGTCCTTGTTTGACCTGGTTTGTTCTTATTTGACCTTGTTTGTCCTTGGTTTTCCTTGTTTTATTGTATTTTTTATACATTTGTTTATATGTCGTGACAGCTCGCAGCCAGAGAGTCTCTGTGTCCTAAACGTAAACATCGATGTGGCCGTGTCAACGTCCCTCTGCTCTTTCTACTCCGGCCGTTGCCATGGCGACCCATTGGTCTTCATCAGCGACGGTCCGTGCAACCCGGAGGACCCATCCAAACTGGAGTGGGCCCGCTTCAGAGCCAAGATGTCGACCAAGAGCTCGGCGCGGACGCCGTGCAATCTGGACACGTGTTACGAATGGGAAACCTGCTCAGGTAGGAGACACTTGTCTTTGGGACAAGAACCAGGCGGTTTTCAGCCGGACTGGCTGATCTGAACCTCAGAATCATTTGAGCTAAGTTGCTATGTTTCACTCCCAGCAGGGTTAAAGCTTGTCGTGACCCAACCTTTCCTCTCTTGTTTCCAGCAACTAAGAAGTGTCAGTGCAAAGCTGCTCGGGACTGCTCCAGGACCGGAACCCACATGTTCTGTGTGAAGCTGGCGACCCAGATGACCCGCAGTCTAACCCTGTGTGCCATGGCCGCCCTCAGATGCATCAACCATCCGTTTGAAATCCTCAACGAGGGCGTTTGTGAGGGTTGATGATCCTGCAGCTAAAAGAACAAGGTATAAACCCGACTGAAGGGAACGTGAACGTGTTTGTTCGGCTCTTTTTGATCATCTATGATGCATTGAAAACACACATTATCATTTACACATGTCACATGTAAGACGCTGATGTTTCACTTTTTAAAGGATAGCAAAAGAACTGGTCTCATTAAAAATCTGATATTTTCATAAAAAGTCCTAAAAGACTTTTTTTTAAAGTACTGCTATTATTCCACAAAGAAAGTCATCTTACGAGTGATTATTTTGAATTCAGACTTTGGTTTCATAAGAAAGTTTCGTAAAGACGGGAGGGTTTTGTTATATTTTAAATTTTCCGCCATTTCTCATTGCACCAACAACAGTTGTGTTTTTTTAATCACTGGCACCTGATTTGATTTTTTTGTTTGTTTGTTTTTACAAAATAAACTAATTATAACATTAAATGCTGAAATAAAACTGTTTTCTGATTGGCTTTAGCTATTTTTGTATTTTTGCTAGTCTTTAGCTAGCCTTTTTGTAATTTCTCTGTTAGAGAATTGGCAGGTCCTTTACTGTTGATTGTAGTTTCACTAGCCATTAGCATTTTTATATAGTTTTGCTTGCATTTTGCTTTTTTACCTAGACATTTGATACTTTTAATCAGCTTTAAGCTATTTTTACATTTTATACTTTTGTTTCTTCTGACTAAAGTTTTTGCTTTGTATAGCTAACTATAGCTACTTTTAGCTATACTTTTTTATTGTTATCCCTCCTGGCCTTTAGCTGTTTATATACTTTTGATAGTCTTTAGCTATTTTTAGCTAGACTTTTGGTACATTATCTTTTAGCTAACTTTTTTGCACTTTGTATTTTGGCTAGCCATTTTCAACTTTGTCTTAGCTAGCTAAGACAAAGGCAAAAAGACAAAAAGTCTAGCTAAGTAGCTAAAAAGACTAGCAAGTAGCTATCATTTTGCTACTTTTAGCCAGCCTTTTTTTACATTTAGCTAGCCTTTGGATACTTTCCATTTTATTAAGTCTCTTTCTTGTTCAGATCTCATCATTCCTTGTTTTGCAGAAAATGTAAATTTTCCAGTTTTCAGCTCTTTCTGCCTCAGTACTTTTAAATGTGTGATGCTGCAACAATAATCAATAATAAAAAAATTTAAAAAAATTCTGACCATGTTGTTTTTATTTTCTATATCAAAAAACTTTAATAAAATCATTATTAGAGATGTTAATATTAATAAGTTCACAGGAAGAAGAAAGTGTTATAAAATATTTCTATTTACAGTTCAGTTACTCAGAAAAAAATGCTAATTGACATTCAAATAAAACTTTTATTTTTTACTGACAAGCTTCTATGCTGATGACATGGATGCTCTCTCCAGTGCACCGACGAGCCCCCACCTCACATTGGGTCATGGTCACTGTGGCGCCATCAACGCTGGATCTGACGCACAGGGGGGCGGAGTCTCCCGGGCACGCCGATGGACTCTGGCAGGTGCATTTTCTGACTGATTCTATGACCCGAACAGGAACATTTAAACTCAGGCAGCTGCTCACAGCCGTCATATGGACATTTATAATGTAAAACGTTCATTATAATGTTTGGACTTTATAATGGACATTTTTAAATTCAGTTCAATTCAATTCAGTTTATTTATCTAGCGCCAAATCACAACAAAGTTGTCTCAAGGCACTTGACAGGAACATTCACATACATGAAAGCCAAAAGATAAAGATGCTCACCTTGGCAGATTGTTCCTGGTTTGCAGTCCTCGCAGGAATTGAACCTCTCCTCTGGCCAATCACAATCCGTGTCGTTGGCCAGCGTGAATTTTCCGCCTAAACACTGTAAAACTCCCAGCCGACAAACCTCTAATAAACGGTGACTTGAGCCGATCCTGGAGCACAGCTGCAGAGAAGGCCTGAAACCAGGTCATTTAGGAGAAAAAAGTGTTTCTTGAATTTTTTTTTACATTCTAATTAGTATTAACAATTAACATTATTTTTCCAAAGAAACCATACTCACGAGCACTGATTCGGCCTTTTACACACACAACCATTTTTTCCTGGAGTCTCCCACAGATTACACTTCAGGTCAAGGATGGGAGGAGGAGGCGGCGCTGGCACTGAATAAAAAAAGCCATAACGTCTTATTGTTCTGCTTAGTTTTGAGTTAGCCTTTTGCTCCTTTAGCTTTTAGCTGGTCTTTCTCTGATTTTAGATTTTAGCTAATTTTTGATAGTTTTAGTTTTTAGTTAGACTTTTGTCACTTTAATGTTTAGCTAGTTTGATCTGATTTTAGGTTTTAGCTAACCTTTTGTTACTTTTAGATTTCCACTAGCCTTTTGTTCCTTTCACATTTGATCTAGTATTTCTTCTTTTAGCTTTTGGCTAACCAATTGCTACTTTACCTTTTGACTAGCTTTTAGCTTCTTTATATTTGAACTAGTTTTTACTTGCTTTTGCTAGCTTCTTGCTATGTTAGCTTTTAGCCAGTCTTCACCGGCCTTTAGATTTTAGCAAGAGTTTCATAATTTTTGAGTGTTTAGCTACTTTTATCCTTCAGCTAGATATTTTAGCCTTTAGATTTTCTTTAAGCTAGTGTTTAGCTTATTTTGAATTTAAAAACTGTTTCAGCATCCTTAGCAAATTTCTTTCATTGCTAGGTGTTCACAATGCATTTTTAGTAGAAAATGTAATTACTCTCATTCATTTTAAACAGTTCACCTCAGATGTTTAAAGATAAACAACAATTTCAACTAAAAATGTTCTGAATGTAAGCTGAAGCGAGCTGATCCAACCACTGCTTGAAATTCTTACATATGTATGTACACCACTCCTATTTAGAAGGGGATTTGAAAACTTTGTTTTGAATCTGCAAGAAGAAAAAAAACAAACATGCTGAGTCATATATAAGCCAGTTATCCATAATCTGCGGAGTCACTGGTTGCCATGGTGATTCCCACCTTTTTAGGGTAGCAGGAACGGGAGGTGCCTCACAGCAGCACTTAAAGCAAAAACACAAAGTAAACGTCGAACATTTGCTGTGTGAAAACTATAAGTTGTATCAAAAGTATTCTTAACTTGTGAAGACTGTGATGGTCCAACAATTTAGTTTTTATGTTTTTACCGATTTTATGGAGGAGATTTGACAAGTTTAAATAAGCCTTGACATTCAGTTTTGTAGGATTAAGTTGGAAAAAAGTCGGGTAAAGATAACGGATAGATTACATTTTTTTAAGTTTTACTACAGGTAGCTTTTCTCCCACTTTCTAAATTCTGGCAAACAAGCTGTTCTTATTCCCAAAATCTTTACACTTCTTTTACAATTTATATTAAAAAAATGTAGGTAGTTTTGTCTTCTTTCACCCATCATATCTCTCGTTGCTATCAGACTTTTGCTTTCTTTCAAACCCACTCAGAATGCAGAGCACACCCAAACTTGCATTGATTTCCATAATTGTATCTGAGCTTGGAATTGTTTCTTTAAAATTGGAAGTGAAGTTTTTTTTAACGTCATATCTTCTACATAAAATACTGTAGACACATAAAAATTATTATGTGTGATGACCAGATGTCATCCCAGTAATTCAGTACAACTTATAGTTTTTACACAGCGACTGTTTGAAGCTTATTTTTTAGTCTGCTGCCAAGAATTTTGAAAAATTTTGAAACAAGCTCTGCAGAGAGTGGTGAAGGCTGCCCAGAAGACTTTTGGAGTCAGCCTCCCCACCATCACAGACATCTACACCCCCGGGTGTAGGAAGAGGGCCACCTGCATCATGAAGGACCCCACTCACCCAGCACACACACTTTTTGCCCCACTCCCCTCAGGCAGGAGGTTGAGGCGCATTAAGTGTAGAACCACTAGACTGAGGAACAGCTTCTACCCTGAAGCTTAGACTCATGAATCTCTGCCCAGGATTATCAGTGTGAAAAAAATCACTGTAATTCCACTTGATTGTTGATATGTGCTGCTGACTATCCATGCTGCTGATCTCATGCTGCTGATTTGTTTCATGTTGCTGTGTTCATTCATCCTCATCTGCTCACACAGACTCATGTTCGTGCTCCTGTTGTCCAGCATATTGTTTTGTAAAGTTTAGTGTATTTCTTAGTTCAGATCTTAGATCTTATTACTGTTTTTGTTTCTTTACAATTCATACTTTTCTTGGATGTAACTGGGACCCTGTGTACACAATTTCCTTTCACCACATGTACCACATGAGATGCGAACAACAAATAAAGAAACCTTAACCTTAACCTAGAAGTGGCAGATACGATGTGTGGTTGCCATGGTGAACTTAATGAACAACAGGCAGCAACATCAATGGCCAACATCATAAAATGTTCAAAAATGCAAATCAGTACATGTTTGCTAATTGTAAGATATATGATGTGGAGGCACGGTGGCACAGTTGATAGAGCTGCCACCTCTCAGTGAGCAGGTTGACCATTCAAATCCCGGCCAGGGGCCATTCTGGGTGGAGTTTGCACATTCTCTCCGTGCATGTGTGGGCTTTTTTTGGGGTACTCCGGATTCCTTCCACAGACCAAAAACATGCATGTTAGGCTGATTGGTAACTATAAATTGACCCTCGGTGTGAGTGAGAGAGTGAATGGTTGCTTGTCTCGTTTGTCTCTGAGTCTATATGTCCCTATGACTTGTGACCTGTCCAGGGTGTACATCGTCTCTTGCACAGTGATTGCTGGAACTGGCACCAGTGACCCCTGGGACCCAAAAAGGAAGAAGCGGGTAAAGATGATGGATGGATATATGATGTGAAGTTCTGTTTTACCCGGTTCACAGTAAATGTCATCGGGAGAAGGAGACCACTGCAGACTGGGGCTGCACAGGATCTCTGACACATCCATGTTTAGCACCGATCCTGCCGGACAGGACAAGGACACACTGTCTCCAATGTGATAGGTCTCCCTGGTGGGCGTGGCAATAACTAAACTGTTGATTGGAGGACTTCCGCATGTGGAACCTGGAGGAGAAAACAGTTTGATCAACAGAAAGTGAGAGAAAATAACCATTGTTTAATCATGAACAACTGGAGCCAACCTGATCCGAGATGGTTGCCACGACCATTCTTAGCAAACACAAAAATGATTAAAACAGTCAGTTTTACAGATATTGAGCTAAAATCTGGTGTGGTGGTAGCTGAGAGTCATTCCCAAATCATACTCTGAGCACTTACTGATTGTGTGGCATCTTTAAGTATTCTGGTATTAAACATTTTATCCATAAAATGGAATTTAGGAACATCAAAAATGTGAACATTTACTTTCTATAAAATGTTTACAATTAATGCATCATTCGTTAAAAGAATATACATTGCCCGCTGCCTTGCATGCCTTTATCACCCACTTTATGGCGCAGAGGTTAGAAGATGGGCCTGTGATCGGAAAGTCACAAGTTCAACTCCCGGTACCGTCAACATCAAAATGTGGGTGGAAAAGGTGAAACACCCACACCTGCCTCCACCCTCATTCGTCCCACTCTGGGCCCCTGAGCAAGGCCCTTAACCCCCACCATTTACTTCCTAAACAGGTCTCTCTTGAAAATGAGTTCTCGTGACTCAATGAGATTACCTGTATAAATAAAGTGTAAATGAAATGGCAGTGGGAGATACTTTATGAATGACTTTAAGAATAAGAATATTTGAGTCAAATCGTAAAGAACTTTGTGGTCCAGTTGGCACAAAAAGTGTTTTTTTGGTAAATGACAATATTTTATGGGAAGAAACGTCACTGAGTTTGTTTAGAGTAAGCCATTTCTGGACAAAAGCTTTCATGTTTTAAAAAGACGAGAGAATAAAGAAGAGCATTGTGCTTCGGAAGTGAAGACATACTTTTACAGAACATCTGTCCCCTGTTCCACTTCTGGTTTTCAGCACATGTTGCTATGGCATTTCCAACCAGGTAAAATCCCTCGATGCAGGAGTACTGCACTGTGCTTCCAACAACATAAAATTCTTTAGGAGTCTATAGGAAAAACACAATAATCATCACAGAAAACGTTGTCTAGTATGTTTAAAATAATGAAAGTGGAACTTTTTCTGCACCTAAAAGGACATTTAAGTTTTCTTTAACCATATCCCCACTTAGTTGTGGGGTACCTCAAGCTTCATATTTGGTCCATTCTCTTCTAGATATATTTGCTTTTAATGGGGTTCGTTTAAAAAAAAAATCTTGATTTTTTTTTTATAGAAAATGCAAAGAAACTGCTTGACCATGTGGCATCTGTTCTGTATCCATCTTTCACTTGTTTTCAGTTAATTTCATGATATGAAAAAGGGATTACTTGTTTTGTGTTACTATTGTAATACCTTTTCCAGTCATGTTCCAGACAGGATACTGGATCAATGCTTTTGGATAATTCAAGATGCAGGCTCAAAAACCGAGTTGACAGAAGGTGATGCTGGTCAATTCATTCCTCCAACAAAATGTATGCAGACTTTATACTCAGTGGTGTAACAGTTGGGTGCAAAATGGTCACTACTTCAAACCCATGGATTCATGCCTGTATGTATACAAACCATGCTGGTGCTTCTGCTCTCACGGGTGATGTTTTATTGTTGCTGCAGTTACTATTTATAACTAAGTCAGTAATTCATTTGTCATTTATTTTGTAGTCATCTAAAGACGGGTTTCAATGTGCAAAACATATAAATGGTGATGTTACATAGAACAAAAAAATCTAAACAATCACAAGAATGTCTGTTCCACAATCTCACCTCAACGAATCCATTCCTCAGGTTTGGAGGGAGTCCACAGAGTTTTGGTGGCGTTACAGAAATACCAAAGCACTGAGGCTCCATCATCCTGAGGGGAAACGTTTTAGGGTTTTATTTGTCTTGCTTTAAAGACACCTTATAATGATTTTAAATACTCCTTAAACTGAATTTCAGAAATAACAGGAAGTCACAGCTGAACTTTATTTCCTTTGTATCTCTCCAGATGAAGATACCAAAGTTCAGATGAACTTCAAGTTTACATTTTAGAAGTCTGAATGAAGTGATGAGTTCTGTCCATCCTTACTGTAAGTATTGGATGTCAGGATCTTCACAGGGCTTCTGCTCTGTCTGATGGCCAACACAGTGACGACCACCTCCTCTGGGGGCAGGGTTATTGCAGGTTCGAGTCCTGGACCTTTGGCCTCCAGAGCAAGGTCTCCAGGAGGACCAGCAGCTCCAGCTGCCATGGATCACCCCTAGGTGGATAAGAAGAAAAGATAATGTTTATAAGGATTAACGATTGAGAATTTTATGTATCTACAGCATAAGATTAGGAAAAGAACCGTTCTTGCTTTTTTTGGATGAAAGACGAAAAGTTTCAACAAAAAGAAATCATCCAGAGGACCTGGCTTAAATTTGCTGGATTTTTCTACCTGGATTGTTGAACATGAACTTTGATATTTTGAAACAGCTCATACTGTTCTTGTTTTATACCTGGTTGTTCTCCAATCACAGCGCCCGTCTCGCAGGCTGGTCCCGAGGTCCCGGGCCGGCAGGTGCAGTGACAACTGGTGCGGGTCAAGAGCGGCTCACCGTTGTTCTGGCAGGGCCGGCAGTGGCAGGGATGCTCCTCTGTCAGGTATTCCTCTGTGGCTCGTTTCAGGTGAAGCTTCTTCAAACCTGCGCACTGGACCTCCTTCACCAGCTCATACAGAGGTCGCAGCTAAAAACAAACTCATACTTCTAAATATTCCCTTGGACAAGTGATACTGTAAGCTCAAAAATATCCAAACATCATATTAATATGAATAGAACTGCACAGAACTGACTAAAAACACAAACTAATAACTTATTGTTCCGTCAATCATTAACAAACAATATTTGCAGTTTACATTATGAAAAGTATATTTTAGTTTTTGTGAGTCAAGTGTTTATGCCAGGGCAATTCAACAAAACTGCTCAGTGGGCCACAGTTATTGAAAGCCAGCAGCTCAGAGGCCGGACATGCAGCGATTAAGGTCATCACGTAAATAAACCAAGTATTACAATGATATCATCTGTTACCTTTAAAATTTGTTTGTTTTATTGCATTGAATCGTAGATGCAATAAACAGAACCCAAACCAAGAACCCCACCACCCATATACGTATATATGTATATATACAGTATATATATATATATATGTATATATATATATATATAGACATATATAGATATGTATATATATATATATATATATATATATATATATATATATATATATATACTGTATATATACATATCTATATGTATATATACAGATATGTATATATACAGTGAACTGTCGCTATAACGCGTTTCACCTTTCACGGTCTCGCTGCTTCACGGATTTGCATCGTGCATTGTGTTCTGCATTCTGATTGGCTAAACAGTCTCTCCAGTACAGTAGTTATTTGTAAAAAACTTTTATACAGTACTTTTATTTGTTAAACAAATGCTTGGGCCTGTAAAAAGGTTTTGTTCTTTGATTTGAATGTATTATAGAGTATTTCATTGTATAATAATTGTAAAAAAAATAAAGGTTACTACT